TTGACCCAGGAAAGTAAATAAAACCTGAGGGGGTATTTCAGCGACTGGCCTTTCCTGGCAGGTCTTGTCCGGTTTCTGAAGAACAACAGTTCCCAATTTCATTGATCCAAAATTGGAATTTCAAACTCAGTTTTGGCATCAAGCATCAGCACTCGCAAAATTTTCTCTTCTTATTTGCCATGGGGAACCTGTAGAAAATTTTGTTTAAACCGCCCTTTATTTCGATACTATCTCTTAGTGTTACAAATAATTTCAATAAAATTCATATGCTACTGGCTTTAATTTTTTTGTTCCGACTTTCGATACGAAAGTAACGGAAAATTTGTGCTCGGGGTGGGTTTTCTCTTCAGACAAATTTCGACTTTTAATCTAGCCATTTTGACGGAGTTTTTTCTAATGTCATTCGAAAAGTATTGTTGTCCTGAGCTTGAATTTGAAATAAAATTCACCTGTAATCGTTTTTCGCAAAGTAAGGGGGTTTAACGATTGCCATTTTTGGCCAATTCGGGACAATTAACGCGCGATATATTGGTTGAAATTGGATAATTACAAATTGGTTGAAAGAAGCTTATTTGCCATAACTGATTTGTTACAAAGAGCAAAATATATCCTTTTATACTTTATATGGCGTGTAGGTGGACGATTTTTATAAAAATATTAAATTTTAGAGAAAAAAAAATCCATTTGTCGCCGAAGGCGCCTTAGACAATTTTTAGGTTTTTAGGGTCCGTCACCAAAGTTGATTATTTAAAAATAGTTCAAAAGGCAGTTTTCGAGACCCTTCGGGTCGGCAGGGGTCGAATCCCTGAGGGAGGGGCGTCTGCCCACCCCATTCTTAAATCCGCCCCTAACTCGAGCTATTTCGCGTAAGCGGCAAACAATCAGCTTTAGAACATGTTCCAAATTGAATTGAGGCATATATAGCGGCGATATAATACGTAATAGAAATCATTTCATACTAGTTGTAACAAGCTTTTTGTCATAATTGCCACGTTACTAAAAGCGAAATCAATCACATTGTACTTTATTTGGCGTGTGGGGTGAATATTTTCAAAACAAGTCCTGAATTTTTCTTTAATTTTTTTTTGAAAAGTTCATCAATTGTTTTTAAACGACCACTGCTCTATAAACTCGAAACCTTCAAGGCTTTGCCCTGATACAAGCAGTCTTGTTTTTTTTTAGTTCCAAATGATACTTGCGTCAGTTTGAAATGTAATCTATTCTAATGTAATTTTCAAAGTGAATTTTTATTTCCAAAATTTTCGGTGCAGCTGAAATAGAGATCGAAATATATCAACAGAGCCAAAACCCAGATAGAAAGTTGTCAGTATGTACAAAAAAACGACAAAATTCATAAGGAAGTACAAAAAAAATCTTCATTTTCTCTATAATTTAATGTTGTTGGTGCGTGGTGTGAAGACAGAACTAAACAAATGTGTAGAATGTTAGTAAAATGGGCGAAATTTTTTTCAAATTTTATTAACAAACAAAAACTGTTCTGTTTTTTTTTGTTTTGTTTGGTTTTTCTATACTTTTTTTAAATTTTCATAGAGAATTTCTATTGCGAGACAAAAACTTAAAAAATTTGAACCGGTTTTTTTCGACCTTGGACAACTATTTGAAAATGTTTTTGATGTCGTTCGAATCGAGATTGAAAAAGCTTTTTTATAATACATCAATCAACTTATTCAGATGATTATTTGATGTACCTAAACTTAAGTAAAACCTTAAGTACGAAAAAATAAAAAAAAACAGATCACATCTGAATACAGGGTTACGCCCCAATTTCAATGATTGAAACAAGATAAACTAAAATTTGAGTTTACAGAGTTATTTATGACTCGCATTGTTTTATGCAAAACTGTCCGATTAGGAAAGTCAGGTTCAAAAAATGACGTCACTAATCATTAAGAACAAACTTTGAAACTGAAAACCGTCAAATTTGTACTCGAAAGCGTAGTTTGCCTTCCATTTAGCAAATACATTTTATCCAAAACTAAATTGAAATTGAAAGTCAACTCATGAAAATTAAATTAAGATTAGGCCTTGCATTGAGTTTGGCCGTGGGTTAATGAAAAATTATGTTGACAAAACATACAGTTTCAAGTTTTTTCGCTCCAAATACTTACGCTCGTGGTGGTTTTTTCTCTAGAAAAGTTCAGAAAGACTTTTTAACTAAACATTTTCGACAACTTTTCTTATCAGCCAAAAAATTTTGTTGTCCTGCGCTGAAATTGAAAAAAAAATTGTAAGACAATGGAGGTTTAGAGATTGACAATACGGGCAATTGGCGACAATTAATGCTCGAGCCAAAGGCAGATCTAAAATTTTTTCTGCGCCGCGGACAAATATTTGAAAATGCGTTTTTTTTGGCGCGCGCTCATCCCTCAAAACTAGTGTATATTGTCGCCGAAGGCGCCTAAGACAATTTTTAGGTTTTTAGGGTCCGTCACCAAAGTTGATAATTTAAAAATAGTTCAAAAGGGAGTTTTCGAGACCCTTCGGGTCGGCAGGGGTCGAATCCCTGAGGGAGGGGCGTCTGCCCACCCCATCCTTAAATCCGCCCCTAACTCGAGCTATTTCGATTAAGCGGCAAACAATCAGCTTTAGAACATGTTCCAAATTGAATTGAGGCATGGCATTTAGTCTATTTAAAGTTTTGCTTTATGCAAAAAATATTACTTAGCACTTTACAGATGCTTACAGTCACAGGATGACTTTCTCATTCAAAAAAATATTATAATTTTTGCGCCCAGGTATTTGCGAACACCCAGAAGAAGTGTTTCCTCAGTTTCCCAATATTGTTCTCGTTTTTAAATTATTTGGCCCTCGAACAACCAGTTTCAAGCTTTTATTGCAAAACCGGGTTTTTATTTTCTCTGATCATTTTATTTAGATTTCAAAAAGTTGGCGCCTGGTGTTTTCTTCTTTTTCTCGATTTAGCCAGTGATTAAATCACTCTGAATTGATCGAAGGTGGATATTGAAGTTGATTTTAGGCCTAATTACTTTCGCAAGCACAAGATGCAAAAAATCTTCTTATTGTGAACTATCAGAAACGTGTCAGGGACAATTTTAGGTGGCTTTTCAAAATTTTTTGTGTGATTTGGAAGTCTATTAAAAACTAGTGTTTTATCACCTAGTCATTGAAGCATTCATATTTTGACAATTTTCAAATGGTTGTTGAATGTTTCAGTTACGCACTTAAGGTCGTATTGTCAAGCCAGCAAATAACAGTTTTCAAAAAACGTATTGATATTGAAGATTTGATTTTGACTTGAAAAAAAAATCATTTTCCTTGTAAGCAATTTAACCGATATATTCCAATTATTTCTTTGAATGTGAAGTTAGTGGTAGTAGTTCAGCAACTGTGTTCGAAACAAAAAGATAAATTTTTGATAAAAAGGTCATCAACAATTTGGAATAGGATCAAAATTATTCAAATGATGCCTTTACTAACAGACAAAAATGTCCAAATCCAAAGCTTATATATACTTTTAAACTTTTATTTTTATTTAGAATTTTAGGATAGAAAAAAAGTTCCAACCGCAAAAATCTGTGGAAAAAACTCTTGGCAAAAATTTTCAAATTTGCACAGCGCAAAGCCCACGAGCCCTGTCCAATTCAGGTTTATTATAATTAACAATTTCTAATACTTTTTTGATACTTAAGCCACTCTGCTGGAAAAAAAAACATGACATGATGAGATGCACATATACTTTAAAAGTTTTATCAAAGTTTGACATTTGATAAAATTTTACAAAACCCAATTTAATCTCAAGAGCTAAATTGGACCACAAGCACCTCAAAAAATTTTTTTAAAGAAAAGCTGAGGTGGCGTTATCCCCCACTTAACTTTATAGGATCGTTTTTCTCGCAGCAGTCACATATTTTTGACAAACCATTAAATATAAAAATCAACTATCCAGTCCTATCCAGGGCCTCTAACTGCTCTTGTAAGTTCCAACTATCACTTTTCTAGCAAGAAGCTTTCGCTATCTATTCTCTTCGGCCAAAATTTAGAGAATCATTTTTTTCATCAAACAGGAACTGCTAAGTCAAAATCCTGAACAAACTAAAACAATGAAGAAATAACACCATGTCGATTAACTATCATAACTTCAAAGAGATACAAGAGTAAATGTGGCTTCTCATGTTAGATAATTTCAATGCATGTTTGTTGAAACAAGTTGTTGCCATTTTTCTGTAGAATTGAAACTATAGAAAAATATGTCATATTAAAACCCTTTAAAACATGATTCTAACATGTTTTAAGGGTCGAGAAAAACCGGTTTGAAAATTTTCATTTTTCGTCTAATTTCGAGGAAATAAGGTGAGCGAGCAGGCTTATTTTGTTTTTCAAAAAATTTACCACAAACAATTATCGGAATGGGTCGAATGATTTATTATGTTAAGGCTCTTTGAATCCTGATTCGAATGAAATTCACAACATTTTCAGAATTTGTTCCAGTGTTGAGAAAAACCGGTTTGAAATTTTTGAGTTTTGGTCCAATTTTGAGAAATTAAAGCAAGCGAGCAGGCTTTTTATAGATGCATACGCCATGAAGCTTTAATAAAATTATTTTTTGAAGTTATTTAGCGCCAGTTTTGGAATAGAAAAAACTTCAATTTCCTAAAAAGCATAAAAAACGTTTTTTTTAGGTAAATGGTCGGAACATTTTGAGCTACTTGCACAGCAACCAGCTATCCTTTTATAAATAATTTGTTGTTTTTTCCCCACTCAAAGTCAAGTACAACAAATAATCATCGGACTGGGTCGAGTGACATATCAATCATTTTAAAATTTTAAAACATGATTCTAACATCAAAAAATTTGCAAAAATTTGTCCCTGAGTTGAGAAAACCTCTGTACAAATTGCAAAAAAAACGGCTATCCTTGTTGTGAGATTACTATAATTTTTTCTCTTCCTTTTTTAAATAATTTATGTTTATTTTGCTTGATCTCGATCTCTAATCCGCTCTAATAAAACTGTCATCAATAACTTCTTTTTGTATTATTTTTGTATTTTCACAATAAACAACAGATGTCATACAGTCTGGCAGGGTTTCTGTTTGATAAAAATGACAACTGTTCAATTTGCTCTTGAGTTTCTATATTTTCAGTTTGTAGCCATTTCTGGTCTCTGAAGAAAGCAATTTGATTTCGTAATTCATCTTTATTGTAATTCGGTACCTCAATTGGTATAAAAGGCATCAAATAGTTGAAAGCATCTATTCCTAAAATCGATCGTGGTGTTATATCCAGAGGCTTCAATTCCGAAGCTCTAACAGAGGCAATGACAACTCCATTTTTCCAATTTTTATCCAACAATTTGCGGAACCCACAAACTAATTCCAACTCCTCGGCTTTTAATTTTCGAATTGAATCTCTGTTTTCAACCCTCTCGCCAAATGGTTTGCTGAATACTCGCGGATCCAGGATAGGGGACCGCCCAAACAATCTCTGAACTTCGTCCACAATAACAGCAACCTTCACTGTGCCTTCGTTCGCAAGCCGTATGATTTCATCTATTACGACTGCTGCTATTTTCGAAGCTCTTCTTGGTCGCTGCTTGGCAAACTCGCAGAGTGACAGCAATGTTGAGCCATTTGTACTTACTTCATCCACGCCCCATATGTACTCTTGGTTTGTGGTCAATTTCGCCAGGTACTCCTTGGTCGGCTCAACAGCCAGCAGTTGAGATATCCACTGGACCGCTTTATCAGGCTGATGTCCTTTAGCATTCATATCAATATTACCGTCTTCGTCTGATTCAAATAAAACTTCCTGCCATCCATGCAAAGTATTTCGAAGATCTGTTATTGGGATTACAAGGTAGTTTTCAGTGCAAGCATAATGTTGTAAATGCATCAGACAAGAGGTTTTGCCACTTCCTATTTTCCCATGAAACAAGATTTTAGTGGGTGGCTTCTCCAAATTGACATGACTGACGTAATGAATTGCTTCCAAAGATGGTTTTCGGATCATCAAACATAATTTATTGAAAACTTTTGCGTCAGATGCTTGCATTGCTGAAACGAGCAGTCCATTGCCAAAATACTTTTCATAGTCGTTCTTCGGAACTTGGTAAAATTTATGAAGAATTTCTGTCGCGTGAAACGAAAAATGATCAGAAGCATTATACGCAGTGCTCATAGGTTCTTTGGGTAGGTCAGATGAACTGTCATACACAGATGGCAGCACTTTGTAGTTAAATTTTTCAAAGACTTCGTCAGAAGTCGCTGTTTCTTCTATTACTTTCCGTTCTTTATCATGCACTTTATTCTGTGCATCTATTGTTTCTTGAAAAAGAGCTTCAAACTCATCTTCAACGCCAGAGGAAACTGTACTCGAATATCTCGAAAAAATCTTTGATGCTATGGTGGTCATTTCCGAGGTTTTTCTTCTGCTGGTGGTTCTATGAGTACAACATCTACGCAAAGCAAAGGAGTTTAATTTCAACATTGCCGATCCGGAAACAGAAAAAATCAAAGAAACGGCAATCTGGAAAACTTTTTGCGGAAAGCATTTAATGGAAGAAAGCTGTTTAACTCAGTTGAGGTCCAGGAACATTGAATTAAAAAAAAAAAATTCAAACCTTGTCGCGACTACGTTAATGATAGAAACATCAAATTACTAACAATGATTTTTGTGAATCTACACATTTTTTCTACACTTTATCTTTTACACTCTACGGTAGTTATTAATCTGAATGAAAATGGTGTTTTGTAATTAGGTTTGTTGGGATAGGGACAGTGAGACAGCTCTTGGCTTCTTTTTTTTTATGAAAAACTTGAATTAATCAAATATAAAAACAAAATAAAGCGTTAACGCTATCGTCTAAAAATTATAAATAGAATATCTCATCAAGTTTGTCATAGACTCTAATCGTGCCCAAAACGCAGGCGGCATTGGCTGATTGTATAGCCATTGAAAGCCGCTGTCTAAGGAATCCTGAGGCTCGGTCGTCGTTTGTAAGGGATTTAATGAGCCTTCCGAGCTTTTTGATAAAGGAGGACGTGTTCTTACTGCACTGTCCTTGTGTTGTGAAAGCAACAGCTTGGAAAATATGTCCTCGCCTTGTGAGTTCTTCATACTTCGCGTTCTTTAAGGTTTCTGCAGACTCAGCTGTCCCAGAGGGATCTCCCCTAGAGGGTGCAAGGGCATCAACAATAGTTGCATCCCAGACAAGCGTTTGTCCTCTCTCCCACGGAACTAAAGTAGCACCGTCTGGTCTCTTGCCGTCAGACCGACACATTCCAGGGGGTTCCAGAACGGAAGGGTAACCCGCTAGGGCCAATGTTCGTTTGATAATGTTGTTGACCATTGTGTGTCTGGCGTGCCGGCCAGCACTTTTCCGGCATGAAAGACCATGAAGGCCTGAATTGTCTACAGTCGAGCCACAAACACAACGGTGTGTGGCACAGACTGGACTGCCTAAACGAGTGGCGACGGCAATTCTCAATTGACTGTCTGTTAACTTCAGCCCTAGAGCTTGCGATGGAAGCGCGTTAATCCATGCTGCTGCTTCCTTGCCTTGAAAGGCCATTAGTCTCTTTCGGTTGTTGTTGTCTACCAAAGTGAGAGTGGTAGCTAGCATGTGTTTAAAGGCGGGACCTGTCCAATTGCTTTGAACGTGTGGATGGACGGGCCGTTCGACACAGTTACTCTGTTGTTGCCACTTCTCAAAAGCCTGTCCGATCGTGACTGGAACATTCACCAATCCGTCTGGTAGGATAGAGGCAATAATAGTCCGGCAACTCTCCGCTGAAGCTAAATAGGCAGATGGTGCAGTGATAAATGCCGAACTAATACCCAAGCCTCCCAGAGTGGATGGCTTCTTTTTTATAGAAACAACCTAGTGCTGAAAATTTTTAGTTAAGATTTGCCAGTTTGAAGCTATTCGTTATGATATCTCCAAAAGATATTTTAAAAAGAAGGATTGCAATGAATTCTCCAATCATCCTACTTTTTCCTTGAACAGCTGAAAAACAATCTTTTTGTGACATTCGACCAGAATGGACAAAATGCAATCTCTGCAGATTTCAAATTTTTAGCAGTGAACCTTCCGAGTTAGTGATTTTGAAGGATTAACGACGTTATTCGGATGATTAGTAGAACGGTGAAGGTCAAGATATTCTAGTATTTTGAAATTTTAAATTTTCGAAGTGATGACGTACTATTTCTGAGAAACGTCAGAAAACGGCCATTTTGGCAGAAAAGCTGAAAAGCAACAGAACAACATTAGTAGCGATTGCGAGAAGAACGAAAGTTGTGATTGAAAAACGACAAAGAACCACGGAGTTAACTGAGAACGTTCCGAGTTGCAACTATTGTGTCTCTACAATAGTTGCAAGGCCGTTGCGAACAACGGTGAAGAGTGGAAGACAGCCTTCCGGGTTACGGAGAGAAGTCAAGTTTAACGTGCTTGATTCAGTGGATTCAAGAACCCGGAAGGGTTTCGGGACTGAAACTTTTATCCGTTTACATAAACTTTTAGCTTCCTGTCATGTCCTGAATTGAATTTAATTAACAATTGGATTCATTTTGATAAGGATGAGAAGCTAGGAGTTGGGGGAAAGGGTCGATCCATCTTCGATGGAGATGGAGATGATGATTTTTATCTACTGAACAAAAACAATAGTAATATAATAAATAGTAGTAGCCCTGTTTTTAGGAGTGACCTCGTGGTCTGGGGATACTGAGACCCAGCCATGAGCTCACTATTTATGCATGCAATTAAGTTAATTTGAGTGTTTTGACCGAAGCCGAAAGCAGTAACGTTTTTTGTCGACCCGATGTTAGAAAGGACCACCGAAAGTACTGGCTCGGTAGAGACGGTGAAAAGCATGCAAAGCTCTGTTTAGACGTTAGCCAGTCGTCTTAAGACTTAGTTTTGTTTTCCGTCGATATGTATCTTCCGGGCGAATTTTACATACTTGTTTTTATAGCGCTCCTGGGTGTTATTCTTTTTTAACATCATGACCGGCAGAACCGTTAACGAGCATTCCGCGCCGAGCGGATGCTCACATTAACGCCCTTAATAGGCCTAAACTGCCGTGGCGGAAGGGTAGTTCGGAACGCGGAAGCCTTCCGGATTACCGTGAATAGCTTTTTAACCTAGTTAAGACCGAAAATTCACGAATCAGGAAGGGTGGGTGGATCGGCCATTCCCTCGTTTCCTGAGAGGTTTGTGACCAAAAACACTTAATGATATATATAAAATCAAACAAAAAGTAGTATAGTACCAAAGAAAAACAAAAAACATAAAAAATAACCGAAAAAACCAAAAACAGTAAAAAAGTAAAAAAAATCAGTAGAAATCATCCCCCCAGACAAGATGTGATCCGACCCTCCCGTTTGTTTTTGATAGATATATTGTTGTTACAGGCATTTATACCAGTCAGGATCGTTACGATCAGTTTTGTAGCCCGTTTGTGAGGCTTGTACTGTAGGGTTATTTGAGCATTTAAGCACGTTAATGATAAATTGCGCTCAATTCGGAAGGGTCTTGGGAGAAGACTGATCCGGCAAGCAGTACAAGGAGCAACAAGAGGGGGCTCAACGACAACAACAATCGACTGTTGGGTATCGTTAACAAGTTTTGTGTCCCTTTTGGTGCAAAAAGTAAGATAGTAATCTGTGGGGGGCTCGACAGTGCTGCACTGTAGTGACCCCTCACCGAACTGCGAATATCCGAGTTAAGCACCTTAATTCGGATATTAAACAAACCCGGAGGGGTATAGTATTACTAATATTATTACTAATATAGCCTATATTAATACTCTTATACCGTTTTTCAGTGAAAAACACAGAAAGCAGACCGTTTTTAGGGTCAAAATAGCGATATTTTGATCCCCCCACAAGTCGCGATTTTTGAGATATCGATATTTTTTGAAACGGAAAAAAGCACTAAGTTAGTTTGTTACATCGTGACTGCACTACCATAATAGATAGAACCGGTTAAGTTTAGTTCGAAAGAGGTTGGAACTATTTTGGTACCGAAAACCGAAATTTCGTGATTTTTGAGAAAACGAAACACTATAAATTCAGAAAATTTTTTGAAATTTTTGAGTTAGAACAGTAAAAATAGTTGTCCGGACAACTTCCACTAGTGAGTCTACAAGTTTTAAAACCCGCTACCCGAAAGCCTTCTGGGTTGCAGAGAAATCGAACTTAACGTGTTTGGTTTGGTGGATTCATCAATCCGGAGGGGTACAGGTAGCATAGTTTTTCGCAAATTTTTTCAACTAAAGCGTTTTAGATCGGGTCTTTTGCATTGAACTAGAAGAGCATAGGCCTTCTGAGCTCGGATCAATAATTTTTAGGTCGAAAGGACCAGAATTGCGGAAAAAGTTAGGCGGAACCTATAAAAGAGAAATTTCTCGACTTTGGAAAAAAGACGTTTTGGTTAATAACTTTGGAACTACTAGGCATATCGAGTTGATCTTGGTACCAATAGATCAGAAATTAGCTGAGCTTACTGATAGGGACAAAAGGTTTTTGGAAAAGTAAGCGTAAAAATTTTTTGAGATTGTTTTTAGCAAATTCCTCAATTTGGAAGGGTACACCCTTCACGTTTTATAAATTTTTTTTAGAAAAGCCCTTATACCCCTACCAAAAGGTAATAACGATTGAATTAAGCAGCTTAAGACAGTTCTAGACAAAAAGAGAGGGCTAAAGGCAAAAGAAGACCTTAACAGAGCCGAAATTAGGCAAGTGATAAGACCCTTCACCGTTAGTGTGAATTGTCAAATAAGAGGCTTAACTTCAATCCGGAGGGGTCTAGGAAAGGATCATATACCCTTCCCAGTTAATTCAAACAGCATAATAGCATCGCAGAACGTATCCGGAGGGGTATAGGTTGAAAGAAGGAAATCTCCGAAAAGCTACTTTTACAAAACCGGAGGGCTCCAAATCCGGAGGGGTCTTATATTAACTAACTCAGAGGGGTCCAAATCCGGAGGGGTCTTATATTAACTAACTCAGAGGGGTCCCAATCCAAAGGGGTCTAGATTATGTTAGTCCGGAAGGGTCCTATTTGTGCCAATCCGGAGGGGTATTATTTTATTAAAGGACTTAGGTAGACGGAAGAAAGACTAAAGGGAGAGGTATTAGGTTATTAGCAGACAGGCTAGGAATCAGTGACTTGCCTTTCAATAAGAACCAGACCAAAACAAAACAGGTCCGAACTTGGATATTCGCGACACTAAGTCTAAACTAAAAAGAGCGTAATTCATTGGTGTGGATTGAAACCCAATACGTTTTTGTGAAAAGTGACTGCCCTGAGGGTTTTAGTAGGTCTAGCTCGGGCAGTCCGAAGGCAGATAGGTAACACAGTACTTGGTGGGTGCAATAGACGCCCGCTTGAGAAAATTACTGCCTTCAAAGTTTTGTCTGTTTGGTGCAGCACCAAGCAGGGAAAGCTTTTTCTTTAAAAAAAACAAGTTCGGTTATTGTACTGCGACCGACTAAAAGTACAGGACACACACGTTTTTTTTATAGAGATATTCATATTCTGTCATTATATATATATATGTTTTTTGTTTTGATTTTAAATCAACATAAACTGTGCTTGATTGATTGGGTAGTGAGTACACTATCTTTTAAATTGACTGATAACATCATATTGTGCTAGTTTCCAAATCTTACGACCGATAATCGGTTAGTGTGAATAAACTATATACAAACTGTACTCTGATAACATACAAGGATTCGTGGTCACTATTTTATAGAATCTTGTGAAATTTATTGTGTTGTGTCATTATTATTGGTAGTCAAACTATAAGATCACTAGCAATCGAATTAAGTGTATAGGCATTAAGAAGTGACAAATAGAGGATGAGTCTAGACAAGTCAAGGATACCGAAACGAGGTAATAGCTCTAGGAAATTCATACCTGAAAAGCAAAGAAAAACGATGACCGATCTTTTTGTGGATGGATCAAACGAGCCCGGACCGACAAAGGGGAGACGGTTTCAGGCAAAATGGTGGCAACGAGAAGTCAGAAGACCTCGGAAGAGCGAAAAGAACTGTTAGAAGTGGAGGTCAATACGGACCATGCCATGAACGACGACCAAGAAGTACATGGACCGGAAGGGAGAGGCAGAAGGCTGGCGAGTGAATCTACTCCGGTAGAACAAGGCCATGATTTTGCCACTTCCACCGGGACATTGGATCGAGAAGAGATGTCGGAACTGTCCGACATCTCAACTGAAATAGCGGCAACTAGAAGATCTCCGACAGACAACACTATGATTGCAGGCGAAACTGAGAAACAATCAACGTCATCGTCGTTCTCAGAAAGAATGAGGAACACCTTAGGAAACATCTTTCCATTCACGATGGGAGGGGGCGCAGGAATTGAAGGTGAATCCCAGGAGGAGGAGGACAAAGAAGAGCAAGGGGACTTTGGGTCTCAAGTCAGCCTCAATAGTTTGACCCAGGAGAATGAAGCATATGTCGGAAGAGAGACTGGAACCATGGACAAATTTGGTGTGGTGACAACGATAAACAAAGAGGCAAACACACCGGGCCAGTCGAGAGGCTTCGCGATTATGACAAATTCAGAGCCGCAAACTGGAGAGAGTAGAAACAGAGGGCTAGGCAACGCATTGGCGAATCCTGAGGTGAATAAGGAAAAGACGTCGAGGCAGAGAGTCAAGGCCCGGATCTCGACCAGCACGAAGCTACCTGGGACCGACAGGGTTACACCGCCACTAGTGACGCCCCTCGTGGATAACGGGGCAGCACTAGGAGAAGCCTTAAACAACATAGTGGACAGTTTAGGAGAACAAAATGAACAGATGTCCATAAGAATGAGTGAACTAGAAAGGGCAGTTCACATTGAGAGAGAAAGTCTGCGGGAAGAAATAAACCGCAATAGACAAGAAGTTGGCAGGAGCGAAAAACGCTTGAAAGAAAGAACAGACGAGTTTATGGCGAAGAACTTGTCGCGAATGACAAGAGAAGCGGAACAACGAGAGTTACGCTTAAGAGACGACATGTAGAAGTTAAGAGTGCAGCAAGAGCAGTCTCTTGGGACTCTTGACACAAAGATAGACGCGATGATGGAGAGGCGAACTCAGGCTATCATGGATAGGTTGGACGGGCTACTAAGCAGCAAGAGTGGACCAAAAGATGGAGAACCGAACTCGGGAGGTCCCAGCAGGGAGCCGAGGGTGAACTTCAATGAACATCAAAAAAGGAAGACGTATGGATCCACTAGAGACAGGGGCAGTTCATCAGGCTATGCCACAAGGGGTAATGGAACATGGGACCCGAACAGTAGAGCAAGTTCAACGGGGAACAGACAGACCTCTAATGAACGACCAACGCGAGGCACACATGCGACTGGGAGAAGTGATTCCGGTAACAGGGGGCATGCGATTCCGGGGAGGAGTCATGTGGGCCAAGCGGGAAACACTCACGGCGATTCGGATTGCAGGGACGCACCGCATACAGAGCCTTTGACGAGGTGTGAAGACCCTCAGGCGGGACACTCAAGGGATGCTACGGCAATGGCCACAGCATTTGAACCCCTAAACAGGTCTTTGGAGACATTCCTTACAAGGTTATCCAGAACCAATGAACGCAGTGAGAAGTCCAGAAGAGTCTTTAAGAAACCAAGATGCTATAAAGATGAATCTGATGGCTGTATTGATACCTGGATAGAGGCAATGAAGCTGCCTTTCGAGGAAGAGGACTTGTCGGAGAGA